TTTTCCTTTTTTGGGGCATTTTTGCAATTTTTTGGGCATTTTTGTGTGTTTTTTAGGTCATCAACATCCTAACTCTTATTATAAGGTAAGGTAATATGAATGTTGATTGGTGGGGGTGTAGGACTATATAGGAGGCAAAACACACCACGGGGGCWGTTTGCCTTTAAAATATTCAGCCCCTTCTTCTAAGTCAAAACTTAAAGTTGTGCTTACGCTAGTCAGTGAGTATTTATCTAATGTATTATACATAATAAAAAATACAATATTATTACTATATTGTACATAAAAGTAYGATAACTATAGGTATAGTTACGTGCGTTCAATTTAACGTTCTTATCTCGTCTAGTACCTACATTTTTTGGTATTTATTTTATTTTGTTGTTTGTTGATTTTGTATTACGTATTTACTTCACTGTTATAGTTATTTACAATGAAAACTAAATGAAAAGGTGGTGCCGAGAAATCAAAGAGAGAAAAAAATTCTTTACATTTTGGTATGACGAAATGGCAAGAGCTGATCAAAATATAGATTTCTCGGCTCGAATATTTGCCCCCTCCCAGCCTGGAACACMTTCGAGGTCAACTCTCATTTTATAATATTATGTATAATATGTAAAACGGGTTACCATTRCCAGTAGCACTACTACTACCTAACCAACCGTATTAATTCAGTTATCTAGTAATTTAAAAGTATATAACAATATGTTTAGTTGAATATATCATTGTTCACACTGAACATGTCCATCGGTTCTTACCATACATGTATATATAACTATTATGAAAATTTCATTCTGTACAGTAAATAATAATAGGTGTATAGGTAGGTACGTAATGGATAGCGAAAAGTAACTGAATACTGTAAATTTATATTAAAATTAATTTTGTAATTGCAAATTGATGAATGCGTTGAAGCATTCTATTAAAATCTTACCATAGAATTTGATTTTGAGTTTTTATTTCAATATTTAAAATCCCATATTATGATAGTATAAAAATAGTATAATATGCCTAGGTACCAATATATKTATATGGTTATGATAGTCAGATAGTCTATTTTTTATAATATACTAGATAATGAACGTTGACTCATAGTGATGAGTCATAGTTTGTGAAATTATTGACGTATGTTTCCTCTGGTAATTTTTTATAACTATTATTAAAGTATTTTTTTATTTAAGCCCTTTAAATTTAGCAATGAAAATAACGTTGGAAGGATTGTATAGAAACGTTTCTATTATCCAATTTTGAATTTTATCGGATTTTTACTACACAATAATAATAAGTATGCTATTATTGTTATTAGCTAAAGTCTCAAGTATCGGACTCTTTGACCCACTATTGATATTTCCCCAGCCGAAAACGAAGAGTAACGACGCTTACCGACCGACGGCGATGAACCATATTAATATCGATTTTATGGGCTAGTCAACCCCGGCGGCGATCAGTACCTACCCTTTCACGTAGTTGAGTACATTTACTTTAGTTTATATAATTCTAGGACATAAGATTCCATATCATATGCATTAAAAAATACATTTTGTAACATTAAATCTACGTAAATACCTACCACAAAGTTATTGGCAACTGTTTTTTTTTCGTCATTCAATATTTAGTTCATATTGTACGATAAATTAAAAAGTTTGCTTGTCATAATGAGTAGCAGTGATAATGGACACTATAGAGAACGAAGGTAATATTATTTAGACTGTCAATGTTACACTCTTTCATAATATAATTAAATATTTGTTTTAATGTTTTAATTTAAATTTGTTAGTAGGTATCTAGGCGAAAAAAAGACGAGTGATATACCTCAATAGAGACACCTATTATATTTCTAAGCATGTAGGCATTTCTAACTAATTTGGGTTTTGGATAGAATATTATTCAGGAATTGTAGATAAAAACTTCTAGATAGGTTAGTAGTAGTAGTCTTACCTTTTGATACCTATACCTATATATTTCAGTCCAACCAGGAACGGCGCTAGGATTTGCGGGGCCTCGGGCAAAATAAATAACAGTCACATTACATATTATCCAAACTAACTAATCTCTGAACAGTATAAAATATCATTTAAGAACTGCGGGTCCTTGATTATAATTTTAAAGGCCGTATATCATTTGCGCATCGTCTGTTTACCTGTACTAAAATATCGTTCATCATTTGCGCATCAACGCATTATTATCTTTTGCGCATTGCCCGTTTTACCTGCACCAAATTATCATACATCAAATGCGCATCAACATGCTGAACAATAGAATTGTATAAAAAATTATTTTTTAATTGCAAATGTAATGATTTTCACAAATCATGTGTAATAAATAAATACAAATAATTAAAATTAATTGAATTGCAGTCATAATAATTATACAAATACACATATTAAAATGAACAATTTTGTTGGCACATTACACAGTCATAGTTAAAATATAAATATAATTTGATTAGAAATAAATTGAAAATAAATATTATATGATAAAACAGTTTTTGATTTTAAATGTAATGATTTTCATAATATTATAAATCAATACTGGGTCTAAATAATCTAAGTCTTCGTCGTACGTCTCGACACTGTGTCAGTATCTCGTTTGATGTACTTTGCGATATAAATCGATTAGTCAACTGTTCATCTTAGTTATGTTATTACTCATTGCTAACTATAATGATAATCTTGACACAATGACACATATTATCACAATTCCTTTTCTTTTTCTTTATCATAATATTATTATATATTTTAAAATAGAAATATCTGTACAATATTTGAAAGTTGATGTATGGATTTTATGATCAAAGTTCGAAAACAACTAATCCTTTTGGGTATACACCTATTTTTTAAATTATATTGTAATATAATATTGATGCGCAAATGATGTAAGACCTTTTAAACGGCTGATGCGTAAATGATATATAACCCAAAAATCGRACGATGCGCAACTGTCTTACAAAAAAGGTCAAAATTAACAATAGCGATGCGCAAATG